GCCCCGCTTACACGCGGGATCTGTGACCCACACCTCGCTCCCTCCCCAGGGGAGATGGCCATTCCATTCTTCACCGGCCGCCTCACTGACTGGATTCTACAAGATGGGACGGCCACTGCCTTCACGGCGAACATAACCCTCATGTCCATTCTCACCATAGCCAGGTCTGGGGGCCCAAGCCGGGAGGCTGAGAATCGGGGACCCTGAAAAAGAGGGAGCTGGAAGTTGGGGCTGCCACCCAAAGTGCACTTCTGCGGGGACCTGGCCTCTGTTCCCTGACCCCCCTGCCTCTCTCTAGTGCAGTGCTGGAGTTCCTGGGCGATGGGGTCTACAACAGCACCATGGGCCGCGTGCACAGCCGCCTGCAGGGCGAGGTGTTTCGGGCTGTCCTGCGCCAGGAAACAGAGTTTTTCCAACAGAACCAAACAGGTTTCCCATGAAACCCCTTCACCATACATCCACATGCTAGTTACAACCCCGTNTCACCATACATCCACATGCTAGTTATAACCCCGCATGTCCCCTTTACTTATAACCTTGGTCTCTCTCACATAGACATTGTCATTTCTTATTCTGGTGTACCTCCAGAGCAAAGTATTGAACTCTTTAGCTTAAGGAAAACCCAGTTTTCCACCCAAGGCTTTTACATAAATTTATCCCTCTATGAGTATTTAGATAGAATTGCAAACCTGGAAATTTTGAGCTCACAGTGTCCAAGTGCCTCGTTTTACAGAGAAGGAAACTGAGGCCTAGACCCTAAATGCTGAAACCTGCATGGTCACAAATGGATAGTGATGAACTGGGAGACAGAACCCATCTCTTGATTTCAAATCCAGTGCTTGGTAGAAATCTAATGGGGGTGCAGAAAACCAAAATCCTTAGCATTAAGGAGAAATAGTCTTTCCCCCTAGTAACAGCAGGAGGCTTAATAAGTGGAAAGGAAGAATGAACCACAGAGACCATGGAGTCTTGCTCAGTTCACATGCTAGAAGTCATGACCACCACAGTCTCCTGGGCCCCTTTCTAGCAGAACCCTCCGTTTCTCTCCAGCTCTGTTACATGACCAGCTTAAGTTGTCCCTGCCTATGTGTGTAGAATGGGGTATACAAGTCCTTTAAGGAACAGAAATCTGCCAGAGAAGTGGGAATTTACATGGGTGTCAGTTTCTTTATAGTTAAATGAAAGCTTTTGGCCAGACTTTTCTGCTCTAACACACACTCCCTGCCTTCAGATCCCAGAACTTCCCTATATCTCTCACCTTATTTTCCCCAGCATCCTTAGAACACCATGTTGACACCCCTCCCTCTGGCACCCTGGCCCACTGCTAGTCCCTCCTATCCCTCTGACACTCTCATTCACTCCACTTTCTCTTCCCAACCTCTGGCAGGTGCCATCACATCTCGGGTAACAGAGGACACGTCCACCCTGAGTGAGTCTCTGAGTGAGAAGCTGAGCCTGTTGCTGTGGTACCTGGTGCGGGGGCTGTGTCTCTTGGGGCTCATGCTCTGGGGGTCACTGTCCCTCACCCTGGTCACTCTGGTCGCCCTGCCTCTGCTTTTCCTTCTGCCTAAGAAGCTTGGAAAACGGTACCAGGTATGTCCAGGGAGTTGCCTCACCCTACACAGACCCTCATCTCCCACTTTGGTGGACTCAGTTCCTCAGCGATTCTCCGTCTTCATGGACTTCCTGTCCCTATAGTCCATGTTCCCAGACTCTGTGGGAGTGTTGATCTTCCTTTCTCTGTGCCTTCTCTTCTAACTCCCGCCCGCAATCTGTCTTTAAGAACACGGCCACCATCTCAAGAGCATGACCCCTACCACCCTCCTGAGCCATTTTCTCCTCTGATCTCTTTGGCATCCAGGGCATAGAGCTGTGTCCTCTTCTGTCCTGTCTGTCTGTCTCTTCTCACCTTTCATCTCCAACCTGGTAACTCAGGTACTAGTGTCTCTATGGTTTGCCAACCTTGTGTGACATCTCTTGTCTGTGTCTCCGCAGGCGCTAGCAGCACAGGTGCAGGAATCTCTGGCGAAGTCCAGCCAGGTGGCCATTGAGGCTTTGTCAGCCATTCCTACGGTCCGGAGCTTTGCCAATGAGGAGGGCGAGGCCCAGAAGTTCAGGCAAAAACAGCAGGAAATGAAGACACTCAACCAGAAAGAGGCCCTGGCCTATGCAGTCAACCTCTGGACCACCAGCGTGAGCACCTGGAGATGAATGCCCATTCCCTTGTCCCCGAGATGCCTTGGCTCTACTCCCTTTCCCTTGACCCTGCTCCACACTCCTCCACTGGGCAACGGTTGGTTCATCCTAGCAATCTGAGGCTCAGTCACCCCACTCCGTGCTCCTGACCCACTCCCTCTTTTTAGGCTAGATGGCTTCCTTTCACTGTGATACACAAAACATACCTAACCCCCCTTTTAGGAAGATGCCACGTCTTCCAGCCCTAGGACCTTCCTTTGCTTTACAGGGGGTGCTCAGGGAGCCATACATTCCTGTGCCTAGGCCCACCTCATGTGTGGATGTGCTAGTGAGAACCACGAGAGTAGCAGAAGCCAAGGTGGGGGGGCATCTGTGATGCAATTGAAGACAACTAGCCTAGCAATGACAAGTTCCTGGCTTGGTGATGTCATTTACTAGCTCTGTGACCATGGCCTGGTAACTTACCTTCTCTGAGACGGTTTCCCCATTTTAAAAAATGAGAGTGATATAACCTTGTTCATAGGGCTCTTGATATGAATGTTAGATTATGTTACATTCATGAAAGCCTTCTGTAAAGAGCAAAATGCTCCCCAGACAAGGTGATAATGGCGATGGTGATGACTTCTAGCATGAACTGAGTGAGACTCCATGGTCTCTGTGGTTCCTTCTTCCTTTCCACTTATTGAGCCTCCTGCTGTGACTAGGGGGAAGGGGACTTTCTTTCTCCTTAATGCTGAGGATTCTGGTTCTTTGCACCCTGTTAGATTTCTACAGCAATCCCTTTTCTCTGTGGTCTCCCCACAGATCTCAGGGATGCTGCTGAAGGTGGGAATCCTATATATCGGTGGGCAGCTGGTAACAAGTGGGGCTGTGAGCAGTGGGAACCTCGTCACATTTGTCCTCTACCAGATCCAGTTCACCGCAGCTGTTGAGGTGAGGTCCTTCCAGTTTCACTCCCAGTACCCCTCCTTCCCCATGCCCTTGCCATCCATGTCGCTTTCCTTCCGTTCTTTACCCATCTCACATCTCACATCACACAACCCTGGAAGCAGACTAGGAGCCCCCCCCCCTCACCATTCATATCTCCCTTCCAGGTACTGCTCTCCACCTACCCCAATGTGCAGAAGGCTGTGGGCTCCTCAGAGAAAATATTTGAGTATCTGGACCGGATCCCTTGCTGCCCAGCCAGTGGTGTGTTGACTCCTTCGAACTTGGAGGGCCTTGTTCAGTTCCAAGACGTCTCCTTCGCCTACCCCAACCACCCAGATGTCCCAGTGCTGCAGGTACAACCTCCCAGTCCTTGCATTCCACCACCATACTCTCAACTCTTCCATCCTAAATTGTCTTCCTCACTTCAGCCTGCTTAACACCAGGTAGAGATAGAGCCTTCCTAACCCCTCAAAGGCAAAAGTGAGCACCATCTGTTCCATAAAACTGCCCCAAACTGAAGAACCAGTTTGGATTTCCAAGAAGAATGGGAGAGGAGGCTCTCAGGGAGGAATCCCTCACATCCCAAGGAATTGCTAAGGAAATCTGTGCCCCCGCCTCCCAGCTTTCCTCTTTCTTTCCCTTTGTGCTTTTGAAGGTGATTTTTTTCTGTTTTCTCATGGTATCTGATACCAAGTATGTAGCATAGAGGTGCCGAGTCTTTCTTTCTGTCTTTGCCTCACCTTCCATTTCTATTCCTCTGGGAGTTATCACCCCCAAGGAGCAGAGGTCTCTGCATGTGGGAGGGGAGGCGTGACTATATCTCCCCATTTTTCTCGTTTCTTCCCTGGGGTAAGACATCGTGCTATGTAATGAGACAGTGACAGCCTCAGGGTTAGTGGCCTCAGTTGGCCTCTTACCGTGTGATTGATGCTCTGGCCTCCAGGGGCTGACGTTCACCCTGCGTCCTGGCGAGGTGACGGCGCTGGTGGGGCCCAACGGGTCCGGGAAGAGCACGGTGGCGGCCCTGCTGCAGAATCTGTACCAGCCCACAGCGGGGAAGCTGCTGCTGGATGGGGAGCCCCTTCCCCAATATGAGCACCGCTACCTGCACCGGCAGGTGAGCAAGAAGGTGGCCTGGTGGAGGGTGCGGAGCACCAAGTAAGAAGAATATTCTCGCTGAGCACTCACTGAACATGCTGAAGAAGGGTTAGGGAATGATGGGAGACCCTGGGTAGAGA